CTTGTTACCCAGGCTGGAGTGCAATGGCACGATCTCGGCTCACCGCAACCTCCGCCTCCTGGGTTCAGGCAATTCTCCTGCCTCAGCCTCCCGAGTAGCTGGGACTACAGGCGTGCGCCACCATGCCCAGCTAATTTTTGTATTTTAAGTAGAGACGGGGTTTCACCATGTTGACCAGGATGGTCTCGATCTCTTGACCTCGTGATCCACCCGCCTTGGCCTCCCAAAGTGCTGGGATTGCAGGCGTGAGCCACCGCGCCCGGCCAAAATTTTCTACTTTTAATTTGACCAACTTGTTCTGTTTTATTTCTAGGTACCCATGGCCACATGAAATGCAGCTTTGATGGGAAGCTAAAATCTCAAGACACAGTACTGATGAACCTCTATAAACGAGTCTTTCCCAAATGGACTTATGATCCATATGTACCAGAACCAGTACCCTGGGTGAAAAGTGAGATTTCTTCAACAGTGCCTCAAGGAGGAATGGAGTAACGGATTCAAAGAGATTTTGTCTTCCTGGTGCCCATCAGCACTCCAGGGATGGGAGGCACAAGTAGTGATGGGCAAAGTTTATTTTCTGCATCGGCCTGTCAGTCCACTACCCCATTTTGCAAGACATTTTTTGGCCTTGACAAAATGTCTCAGTTAAGTATGGAAGTTTTTCTACTACTTAGTCCAAAAAACTGTATTAAATCTTACTGAAATACCCATAAAGAATCTGATAACTAAGAGGGTAAGATGAAAAGTTGACAATGACTAGGGAACAAAATGTCCTCAGTTTCTAAAAACACTGATTCCCACCATTTCCTTTTTGTAAATTAAACAGAAACAGAAGAAGCTGGCCTTTCAGCCTGCTTCACCCAAGCTACAGAGGTTAAGTCTACATTTCCACCACTGAGCACAATACAAATGTTCTTTACTTCTGGGGAAACAGTTTGAAAATGTTGAGACAGCACAGCAGCCACTCCAACACCAGCTGTAGGTTCAATGAGTAGTTTCATCCTCTCCCACACCAGCTGAGTTGCATGCTGTTGATACGGAAGGGAGTAGGAATTAGTCTAAAGGGAGTCTAGTTGGTTTACTTTAAAAAGTCAGATGAGAATATGTATATATATATATATATATATGTCCAGTTTGAATTTTCTTATCAGTACATATGCATGCTTGCCAAGACTTTGCTTTCATTCTAACTTTGCTTCTGTCAAGAGGGTTGTCATTCATACATCTAGGGTCCTTTCCTGTCATGAAGTTACCTAGTCAAGTTGCCACGGGTCAGCTGCTACTCATAACAAAAGGTGGCTCTGCCTAAGAAGTTACACCATGCTTTGTTATTTCTTTTCTTGTTGGAGCCGTACCTTAATTTCATCCTCTGTGACAGTGAAGACATCATCCACAAGGTCCCTGATAATAGGCCACGTGTTCCAGCCAATGCTGGATTTGACGCCATCTGCTATGGTTTCTGGAGGATAAAGATTGGGCATCAGTTCCCCTTTCAGTTTGGACTGGTAGCAGTCATCTGCATTCAAGGGTTCAGCAGCATAAACCTTCACATTAGGTTTCAGAGCCTGGGAATAAGAATATTAAGATATCTTACAACAAACCACAGCATTTCCTACGTATCTAAAAGAAAACAGGGGCCGGGTGGAGTGGCTCATACCTGTAATCTCAGCACTTTGGGAGCCTGAGGCAAGTGGATCACTTGAGGTCAGGAGTTTGAGACCAGCCTGGCCAACATGGTGAAACGCAGTCTCAACTAAAAATAAAAGAATTACCTGGGTGTGGTGGTGGGCGCCTATAATCCCAGCAACTTGGAAAGCTGAGGTAGGAGAATCGCTTGAACTTAGGAGGCAGAGGTCGCAGTAAGCCGAGATCATGCCACTGCACTCCAACTTGGGCAACAGAGCAAGACTATCTCAAGAAAGGAAAAAATAGGCAGAATAAGTAATACACTTCTGCCCACATAAGAGCCTTCCCTTTGACGGATGT